TGCATGGAAAAGAGCGACCAGGACATTATTCGAAATTAGTTTTTGTGAGCGAACGACATGGGAGTGAGTAAATGATTACATTTTCCTTTCATGTCTTGAACCCTGTCTTTAATGCGAGCCTTTGGCTGGGAGCTCACACCCACAGAGGGTCTGATGGGAAGGACATAAGCACGCGCGGCCGTTAACGTCGAGCACACTGCGCGAGGAACAGATGCTGTCTGTTTTGCGTTTGACTGATTTCCTTCCCTCAGATATCTCTCTGGCATATTGGCGACACGGCGGGGGGAAATAAAATACGATCTACATTTAAAGCCTCCCTTGTGCCCTTCCATCTCAGAAAAGCATCTTTATGATGTCGAGGCGCTGAAATGCATTATCTGTCTCGTAGCTGTTGTCTCACTGTCTCCCCGAGGGGACGATCGTCAAACACGTGACAGGACGCTTCGTCCGTAATGACAAAGTTTTGATGTCGGCGGTTTATTTGAATCTGCGAGGCTGTGGAGGAGTTTGATAATTGCGATAGTCTTCCTTCGAGGGCTGCTAATGAATTTCCACACCTCAGATTCGCTCGTTCGCTTTCCCTTTTCGGATTCTATCGCTCTTCTTTTTCACACCATCCCCTCCGAGCTTTGCATTACCCTTTCTTTCTCGCCCTCTCCTTCTCACTCTCGCTCTCGCTGAAAGGTCTCGTATGGATCTTCTAAAATGTCAGCTGAATTTGTGAGAAGCCGAATAAAAGCTCCACTGCTGTGCTGTCTCTTAACGAGCCGGCTTGCCAAAAGAAAGCCAGACACTAGCAGAAAACAACTCCCGCTGCGTATCTGAACCCTTATCACTGTCTGGAGTGGCTCTACGGTTCCACCTTTGTGGCCGCCAATCTGTAACGGTCCAGGACGGACGACTAAAAAGCCCTGTATTCGTAAACTCACTGCTTTCGTTCAGGAGAAATGAATACTGAAAGGTTCAGACTGGGAATAATATGCAGATCATGCACCGGTTTCAAAACATGAAATTGGATGATATAAGCTGTGTAAACACAGCGACGCCACCTTTATGATCACAGATCTGTAAAAGGCAAGGGCAAGTGTGCTGCGTTCTTAAAGTCACCATGAAATCAAAATTGAAAATTCTTATTTTTTAATGGAATACTGTAGTGTTTATTATAAATAATTGATCCGTGCACTTCATAATTTTTTTTTAATTCATGTGCCCACGTAATCTTTAATCAAAAACGTTAACCTCACCTCCCCCTCAAAACGACTCATCTTCTCTTCCGGTCACGAGCTATGGCGCAAGGGCGGAGCTAGTGACGTGAGGGGTAAACGCTGGGATAAACGACGGGGGAAAACTGAAGATGATGCTTCACTTTATAGCACTGACACTAATCATGAGGGAGTACGTTACCCCTAAACATTGAAAAGATATTAGGATATTACGACAACATTACTCTTAGGACATCACAAACAATTTTTTTTCATGAATATGACTTAAAGTCCCCATAAAATCAAAATTAAAGTTTTTTGGGTGTTAGTATCAATATGTTAGTCAGCTGCGTGTTTCTAAGCATTTCAGGGGACCTTTAACCTGATGGAGGACGTGCTCCCTCTCTTTCTCGTGGTGTTTAGGCATGTTTTGTGCCGTTGATCGTCGTCGTCATCCTTAATAAATAAAACATTTATTCATGCTTGGGTGTCGGCTGTGAATCCAGTGGAGCCTCAGAGAAATCCCCTACCACTAACTGAAAACTGGCATCCACTAACTGCAAACTGGCATTCAGATCTGCCTCCATTTTGTTAGCAACACCCCAGCTTCCAACGATCCAATCAATTCCCGAAGGACGAAAGTCCCGCCCTCTCATTTCAGATGCCGTTTCACTCGGATATACGTCACAGTAGAGAAGAAAAGACAATCGCAACTTCCGTTTCATGCCGACTTTAAACGCTCGCTTTCTTGGACTTTTTTTTCTGTTTCAAAAGGAAGGTTTACAGAAGGTCGAAATGAATAAACTGATGCATGATGGGATTTTTCAGAGGAGAGCAGCAAATGAAAGTTCAATGAACTGCCTTAAAGATAATAAAATTAATAAATAATATTGGTAAAAGAACAACTAAATGTCACACCACTCTTGTAAAAATAAATGAATAGATAAACTATAATATATAAATATTAAAAAATAAACTAAATATATAAAATAAACTATATATAATATATAAAACTACATATATAATATATATAGTTAAATATAACAAAAAATATATATATTAAAAAAAAAACTGTTTTATGAAGGTCCAAACTGATGCATTTTGGGAGTTTTCAGTGGACTGCAGTGAATAAAATACAGATCATTGTATTTGCCTGATTAAAATAAGAAAGCAAGAATGAAAGAAAGGTTTGCCAAACATTCAAAGGCTAAGATGATACATGATGGGAGTTTTCAGAGGACTACAGTGAATGATATGCAGATCATACCGAAAGTTTTGAACGCATAAACACCTCGAGTTGTGTAATGTGCAATTTGCCCATGACAGCGTTTCGATCAGTATTCTTAGTGTCTGATTTTACGAGTCTGAAAGCTGCCTGGTCTCAGAAAACGAATCCCGAGTGAAGTCTCGACACACCGTCGCTGTGGTTTTCACTCATGCTTTGATGGGTGAGTGTTGAGTTGACGGAGACGCAGCGCACCGCATGTTTGTTTTACGCTTCAAATTAAGCTGATAGAATCAGATATGTGCTGCAAGCAACTGCTGTAATTTAACAGTGACACTGTACTGTAAGTGAGAGCCACCTGCATTGTAAGCCGTTTAGTTACTCATATAACTTAAGTTTTCTATGCTTTATGTTTTAGTTGACATAATTCATATTAATAAAGTTTAGTCATTAATTATTTCTGTAGTCACTGTAACAGTGACCCACTATAAAGAACCACATCGAAACGCCACTCAGAAAACGATAAAATTTTTCTCATTTAGGTGAACTATTCATTTAAAGAACAAAGAAAACATATAGAGTGTGTTTTGAGTGTATGTGTGTACAGATTGAGGCTTTCAAGCGCGCCAGAGTGGCGGACAAACACACAGATGTACGTGTGTAATAAGACAGCAGCAGCTGGCCTGGTGTGTGCTTATATCTCTGTGTTTGATTTTGCATCACCAGGCTGTTGTCAGAAGACAGGCTGACGATCTGATCGATGGCATTGGACTTGATGGCGAAAACAAAGCTTACGAAGATTTCACAAAGTTTTCCAGCGGTGACGCTGAACGAAAGCGGCATTCTTGATTTGACAGGTGCCAAAATCCATTCCGCCTCACCGTGGCCGTGATAATGAGTCGTTTTCAATCTGATCTATTTCTGTCGTTCAGCGCGCACACCTCCTTTTTTGTCTTCAGAACGTTTTTGCCTGTTGTTCTTTCGTATTTGCATTCTCTCGTAAGTTCGGCAACAGAGGGGAGGAAGGTTTCGACACCGCTTTACTGAGGATCAGGGCCCTGGATCAGCTGTGCCTTTATAAAGCCCATCAAATACGAAGGGGCCCAAAAGTCCCAGACCAAACTGAAAATCTGGGGTTCAAAGTCTAATTTAGACCAGTAAGTAAATGTTTTAGGATTTGCGTGCAACTGCCATTGACACAAAAGACAAACCAAATGCTAAAACATTCTTAAACTGTTAAAATAGTTTAACTTCTCATAAAAACTGTTATGCTGAAAAATAAGCTTAAAAATGTAATGTATATAAATATTATGCATTATATACAGTGGTGTGAAAAAGTGTTGGCCCCCTTCCTGATTTCTTATTTTTTTGCATGTTTGTCACACTTTAATGTTTCAGATCATCAAACAAATTTAAATATTAGTCAAAGATAACACAAGTAAACACAACATGCAGTTTTTAAATGAAGGTTTTTATTATTAAAGGAAAACAAAATCCAAAACTACATGACCCTGTGTGAAGAAGTGTTTGCCCCCCTCTTAAAACTGCGGTTTATCACACCTGAGTTCAATTTCTCGAGCTCTTCGTACCCCCGCGTCGCAACAAGGGGCTAACCTGCCTAAACCGCTTCACCTGCAGGGAAAAATCCTCCCCCTGGTCGGCCGTCAAATCAGAGCTCTGGATCTCCTGGGTCCGAACTGGCTCCGCCCCCTCGGTGATTGGGGAAGAGGAGATCCGTCGGTATGTGAATCCCCAGTTCGTTTCCTCTTCTTTTCTTTGTTCATAGAGGGGGAAAAGAACAATCGGATGTCGTGCTGCTTGTCCTTTTCAAACTGTGGCGGATGGGACACACAAAGTGTTTAAGGCTAAGAAACTTCATCTCTTGACAGCAAAGTAATGAAACCAAAGACACTTCTGAGAGAAAAGCACTTTGTGAGGTTCAGGTTTCCATGACTGGGAGGTGGGAAGCCTTGTTATATTTCGGGATGTCAGAAGTACCAGTTCTGTCACTAGCATTGAAGAATCAATCAAAATAAAGTTTCATTTGACATAATGAAAACAGCAAATTTCGCTGCATGTTGTTTTAGTGTAATTTGTGATTTTTTTTTTTTCATATAGCATATTTGTTTTTGGTATCGTGACAACCCACATTTTACGTTTAGTTTATGGCAATAATGAAGCGTTTACGTACGTGAGAAAAGAAAGTCCCATCCTTGTCATCCTCAGAATCACCTTTCATGGTATCGCTTGGCGTCCATGCCTGAGCCAAGTTCAGAAAGACCCATTTCTCTTGGTCTCCCACCTAAGCTTTCAAATACTCCTCCTTTCCGTTCAAAGCGCTGCCCGTAACCGTTTCCTGTCCAATATCATTTGTAAGAATCTCAACAAATAAAAGTAAATTTTCCAAACAAGTCTCTCCGAAGTTTACAGCAGATATTGTGTTGCCACTTAATTTAGTCCCAAGACATTATATATTGATTATTTTAAGAGTAATTTGGCAAGTCTGGAAACGAAGTTCACAGCAATTTAAAAACTGTACATTTAAAGAAATCTATAAAAATGTTCACAAAATGACAGTGAAACTCTTTGAGTGCAACTACGAATACTGAAGGTTATATTTTTTCCTTATCTGAAGGTTGATCTACCTTTCTGTTTAGCATGGCCCATATGACGGTGTCAAAGGTTCCTTTGGCGATGAGGTAGTGGATGTGTATGGTCGTGGTCTGCCCCATGCGATGCGCTCTGTCCTCTGCTTGCTTGATGTGTCCTGGGTTCCAGTAGAGTTTGGCAAAAACCACATGAGACGCGGCCGTAAATGTCAGACCCTGAGCACAAGCAGATACATCTGATACATACAGTATGACAGCAATATTTGCATATGACGTTACTGAGGTTGACATGTTTGGGAGTGTTACAAGTTTGTGAGAAAAATAAAGAACAGTAAGATGTTACAAGGTTGTGTGAAGGTATGGTGATTAAATGTACCTTGTAACATCTCAATCAAATACCGTACGTTTACATGGTTGAGGTTTTATGAGGTTGCATGAAATGTTTCGAACAGGTATTATAAAGAAAAACAGTGCAATGTAAATGTTACAAGACTGCATGACGCATAATTTATCCAGTGTTGAGGTGTTACAAGGTTGCGAGATGTTTAAATAATAAAATAGGTTTACAATAGGGATGCTCTGATCGATCGGCCGGAGATCGGTATCGGCCGATAATCACATTTTATGACTCGATCGGTACTCACTACACTTGGCAGATCTCACGAACCGATCGCAATTTGACGATGTCAACATGTGACGACGTACATGATATGTGGGGACATAAAATGATTTGGCACCACAGTCAAGTCATCGCTGGTGTGGAAATGCTATGACGTTTCGAGAAACAATGAAACATTCGCTATTTGCCGTAAGGGATAACGTTAACATAATACGCTGATCGTGGGCGGCTTTTAAATGAACGTTTATTTATAAAACAAAATATCTTCTTTGGCCATATTAGCCTACTCAATAGCATTAACACAGGCTTTACTCCTTTCAAACTTTATCTGGAATGTCACCGTTTCTGTCACTGCAACTTCCCAATCAGGCGAACGAACACACACAAACACACGAAATCGTCTGCATCATGAAAAAAATGTATTTTAAAAAATGTAGTTAATATGTGCATCATTTAGGATTTATTTTATCCACCCGCGACCCACCCTCAAATAATCAGAATGCATTTTTTATTACCCGACCCGTGGATTATCAACTTCAGTCTGCTCATCACCTTAACTTTAACTGCGTTTGTAGCCGGTGTTCTGACGATTTGTGCTACCCTGTCAGATTTTGCTACCTCCCATTACATTTAATCGAAAAATTTAAAGTTACTGAGATTGACACGCTTGAGAGGGTTACAAGGTTGCGTGAGGAATAAAGAAGAATGGTATGATGCTTCAAGATTGAGGCATTACAAGGTTGTTTAAAGCATTAAGGTTGTATGATTATGTTTGAGATGTTACAAGGTGTGTTTACAAGGTTGAGGTTTTACAAGGTTTTGTGAAATGTTACGAACAACAGTTTGAGAAGTATAAACTGACATTTCAGTGTTTATGAAGTTACAGTATAATGAGGCTATGTACAGAACAAAGAACAGTACATTTATGACATTGGGTGTTACGAGGTTGTGTGGCATACAAAAAGGAACATTACAGTGTTTAAGACGTTAAGGTGTTAGAAGTTTGCTTTAAGTATAAAGAAGAACAGCATGTGTTATAGTGTTTAGGAACACTACAATTACAACTACAGAGTTTGTGTGATGCACAAAAGTGAAGATTACAATGTTTACATTAAGATGTTACCCATTTCTGTTAACTATAAAGAAGAATAGTACAATATGTACAGTGCTGAATGTTACTAGACTGTGACGTATAGGTTGAGGTGTTACAAGGTTTGCGTGAATTGTAAATAATAAAATACTAGGTTTACAAAGCTTTGTAAAGTGTAAAGAATAACAGTGCAATATTTACAGGGTTGGATGTTCTATATAGAGGAATGTTACAATGTTTTTGAGGTGGAGATTTTACAAGATTGTGTGAAGCATTTCAAATGTACTTACAATTATTACAGGGTTGAGTGTTACGAGGTTGTGTGACCTACTGTATAGAAGAATATTACAATGTTTATGAGGTTGAGATGTTACAAGGTTGTGTGAAGCATTTCCAATGTACTTACACTGATTAAGAGGTTGAGTGTTATAAGGTGGTGATGTTCATACAAGGTTGTGTGATGTACCGTACTTTATAGAGTAATGTTTCAGTGTTTACAAGGTGGAGATGTTACAAGGTTGTGTAAAGCATTTCCAACGAGGTTGAGCGTTACAAGGTTGCGTTCGTACTACATAGAAAAATGTTACAATGTTAGCGAGTTGGACATTTTACAAGGTTGTGATACATTTCCAAGTAACTTACAATGCATACGAGGTTATATGCTACGAGGTTGTGTTTCGTACTGTATAGAATAATATTACAGTGTTTACGAGGTGATGTTACAAGGTTGTGTACAGGGTAAAGAATAACAGTAAAATATTTACAAGGTTCGGTGTTACGAGGTTGTGAGACGTACTGTATAGAGGAATGTTAAATTGCTTATGAGGTTGTGTGACGTATTATATAGAGGAATGCTTATGAGGAGGAGATGTTACAAGGTTGTCTGAAGCATTTCCAACATACAATGATTGTGAAGTTGAGTGTTACGAGGTTGTGATGTACTGTATAGAGGAATGTTACAATGTTTATGACGTGGAGATGTTACAAGGCTGTGTAAAGCATACTTTTTAATGATTACAATGCTGGGGAGTTACAAGCTTGTGAAGTAGCCTATAAAGAAGAACAGTGAGGTTGTTACAAGAAACGTGGGTATTAAAAGGAACTGGTGTGTTACAAGTTTGTGTGAAGATTTACAAACAGCAGCACAATGCTCATAAGGTTGAGGTGTTACAGTATTGTTTATAAGGTTGAGTACTCATTACCTGTCCAGCTGCCTGTATACTAAGTATGGCCACACGCGTGTCAGGATCATTTTGAAAACGATGCACCAGTTGGATCCTTTCTGCAGATGGAACACTGCCATCAATGCGGATATAACTTGCCTGGAAAAGAATGCGGAAAAGAGAGAGTCCAAAGTAAATTATATTTTTAACATTTTCATTCTTTTATTTGTGTAAAAGCTTTTTAATGAAGGCCAAAATTGCACCTTTAAATCAAAATCCCTTCCAACTAAAAGCATTGAGAGAAGTACCAAAACTCTTTATAACCAACAATTGACGTAATAAAGGAGGAGTTTTGCAGATCT